ATTTCTAATTTTGTTAATCTGGATATTCTCTCTCTCTGTCATTTAGTTAGTTTGGATAAGGGTTTTCCAATCTGATTGATTTTTCTCAAAGAACCAACTCTTTGTTTCATTGATTCTTTGTATTGTTCTCTTTGTTTCTATTTTATTGATTTCAGCACCGAGTTTGATTATTTCTCACCATTAATTCCCTTTGGGTGTGATTTCTTCTTTTTGTTCTAGAGCTTCCAGGTGTGCTATTGAGTTGCTAGTATGAGATCTCTCTAGATTTTTATGTAGGCACTTAGTTATATGAAATTGCCTCTTAAAACTGATTTTACTATGTCCCATAAGTTTGGGTATCCTGTGTATTTATTTTCATTGAATTCTAAAAAGTCTTTATTTTTTCTTTACTTCTGTATTGACCCAGTTTTCACTCAGTAGAGAGTTGCCCAGTTTCCATGAGTTTGTAAGCTTTCTGTTGTTTCTGTTGTCGTTATTATCCAGCTTTAATCTGCAGTGGTCTGATAGGATGCAGGTAGTTATTTCAATTTTCTTCTATCTGTTGAGACTTGCTTTGTGACTGAGTATGTGGTAAATTTTGGATGTTCTGTGAGGTGCAGAGAAGAGTATATATGTATATATATTTGTGTTTGGGTGAAATGTTCTGTAAATATCTGTTATGTCATTTGTTTTATGACAATTGTTAGCTCTAATATTTCTATTTAGTTTTTGTCTATATAACTTGTCTGTTGGAGAGGGTGGAGTACTGAAGTTTCCCACTATCAGTTTTTAAGGATCAATGTATGATTTAAACTGTAGTACTGTTTCTTTTAGAATGTGGGTGCTCTTGTGTTTGGGGAATAAATGTTAAGAACTGAAATGTTGGGGCTGGAGAGATGGCTCAGTGGTTAAGAGCACGACTGTTCTTCTAGAGGTCCTGAGTTCAATTCCCAGCACCCATATGGTGGCTCACAACCATCTGTAATGAGATCTGGTACCCTCTTCTGTGTGTACATAATAAATAAATAAATAAATAATAAAAAAGAACTGAAATGTCATCTTGGTGGATTTTTCCTTTGATGAGTATGTATTCCCTATCTCTTCTGATTAGTTTTGGTCTGAAGTCTGTTTTGTTAGATATTAAAGAAGGCTACACCAATTGCTTTCTTAGGTGCATTTGCTTGGAATATCTTTTTCCCACCCGTTATCCTGAGGTAATGTCTATTTTTGATGTTGAGATGTGTTTCTTGTATGCAGCAAAAGGATGGGTCCTGTTTCTATATCCATTTTGTTAGTCTGTGTCTTTTATTGGGCAATAAAAACCACTGATATTGAGAGATACCAATGAACAATGACTGTATGACTGTTGATTTGTGTTATTTTGTTGTTGTTGCTGCTGGTGGTGGTGGTAATGGTGTGTGTGTGTGTGTGTGTGTGTGTGTGTGTGTGTGTGTGTGTGTGTCCCTCTTCCTTTGATTTTGGTGGTCTGGGATTATTATTCCCTGTGTTTTCATGGTTGTAGTTAACTTCATTAGGTTGCAGTTTTCCTTCTAACCTCTAAAAGGCTGAATTTGTAGATAAATATTGTTTAAATTTGTTTTTATCGGGGATGTCTTATTTTCTCCATTTGGTGATTGAGTTTTGCTAGGTAGAGTAGTCTTGGCTGGCACCTGAGGTCTCTTGGTTTCTACAGCACATTTTTCCAGGCCCTTCTGGCTTTTAGAGTCACCATTGAAAAGTCAGGTACAATTCTAACAGCTCTGCCTTTATATGTTACTTGGTCTTTTCCCCTTGCATCTTTTAATATTCTTTCTTTGTCCTATACATTTAGTGTTTTGAGTATTATGTGTTGAGGGGCCTTTCTCTTCTGGTCCAATCTATTTGATGCTCTGTATGCTTCTTGTATCTTTATAGGCATCTCTTTCTTTAGGCTAGAAACATTTCCTTCTATTATTTTGTTGAAAATACTTTCTGAGTCTTTGATCTGGGTTTCTTCTCCTTCCTCTCTTCCTATTATTCTTAGATTTGGTCTTTTCATGGTGACCCAGATTTTCTTGATGATTTATGTGAGGAAATTGTTAGATTTAATATTTTCTTTGACTGATGTGACCATTTTTTTCCTATCATATCTTTAACTCCTAAGATTATTTCTCCTATCTCTTGTAATTTGTTAATTCCTGTTTGAATTCCCAAATTTTCATTTCCTGCATTCCCTCAGTTTGGGTTTTCTTCATTGATTCTATTTTCATCTTCAGATCTTTAACAGTTTTATTAATTTCTTCACACATTTTATTTGTGTTCTATTAAATTTCTTTAAGGGGTTTATTCATTTCCTCATATTTTTGTTTGTGTTTTCCTGGATTTCTTGAAGGGATTTATTAATTTCCTCCTCAAAGACCAGTATCATCTTTATACAGGCTGTTTCAAGGTCTTTTTCTTGTGTTTCAGCCATGTTGGAATATTTAGGGCCTGCTGTGGTAGGGTTGATGGGCCTCAGTAGAAACATATTGCCTTGGCTTTTACTGATTGTGTTGTTATGTTGCTATCTAGATATCTGTGATTGAGATGATTATAGGTCTGGGTCATGATATCTAGTTTTGTCTCTGTTGGGTGTCTTGTTCCTTGGTTTCTGTTTCCTCCCTAGACTTTAGGAGGGTGTGATGGTTTTGTGATGCCTGGTAGGAAATTTTCTGCGGACCGTTTTCTCTGACCTGCTCATCTGGTGTGTTCACGGGGAATGCTGGCTGGTGTGGAAGGCTGGGACAATGTGATGAGTTGGGAGAAGGAAGGTTTGAGGATCTTTCTTTTCTTTTGGAGGTGGGGTCAGTGAGGAAAGAAAACTGCACCAGGTTTTCTGCTACAGGGCTGGGGATGAGACTAGGGGATTGGATCTGGAGGAGCAGAAGTTGAATCGTGAATCCACTGTCAGACCACTTGTTGCCCTGGTGAAAGTGGCTCTAGGGTTAGCAGAGGTTGTCTGCCAGGGCTGGAGGCTGGGAAAAAGGAAAGAGTGGGGGAAGGGAGGCTAGAAGGGGAAGATCTGTGGGATCCATAGGAGGTGGGAGCATGGTGCCAGAGAAGGCTGCCATATGTGTTCTCCTGCAGAGTGGGAGATGAAGTTGGGAGATTGGATCTGGGGAAACGGGAGAAGGAAAATTCTACAGGTAACCTACTGGATTATCTGGCAGACATGACCTATGGGTTAGTAGGGAGTACCTGCTGGAGTTGGGGGCTGTGATAAAGCAATGGGTTGGGAGAAGTAAGTTCAGCGGTAATGTTCTGTGCAATTCACAAGAGATGTGGGTAGGAGGGGAAGGAAGGTTGCATCTGGTATTCTGTTGCAAAGCTAGAGATAAAACTGGAGGATTGGATTTGGAGGGGAAGAAGGAGTGGTGAAGGTATTCAATAGGCTTACCTGTTTATCTGGCCTGCTCAGCAAGTGTGTTCCCAGTGAATGTCTGCTGGTGTTGGACACTAGGATAATAGGATGACTTAGGGGAAGGAGGTTGGGGGAGAAAATCATGTGATCCACTGGGGATGGAGTCAGAGAGGAAAGGGAGGCTGTAGTAGATTTTCTGCTACAGAGCTGGGGATGAGACTGGGGGATTGTATCTGGGGAAACAGAGGGAGAAAAGATTTACAAGTAGCCTACCACACTTTCTGACAGGTGTCTAGATATGATTTTATTGTTAATTCTATTTCAGTAGGTTTCTTTCCCCCTCTGTACAGTGATGAGCATTGAACCCAGGATCTCATATTAGCTGAGAACGCCAATACTCCTGCCTCAGCCTTTGACCGTTGAGCATACAGTTGAGATGCACATATAGGTGTGCATCATGTACTTGATTATATCTTGAACTTTCACCTTGAGATGACTTAAGCTTAGAGAAATGGTAGTTTTCACAAGGCCATTCATCTCTTTTCCACCCCATTTTGATGGAAAATTACATTAGAGTCAGTGTTTTAATGTGGAACACGAGACTATGTTTGCATGCCATTATTTTCTCACCAGCCTCCCCTCTAGACCATGCATTCTGCTTCATGGTATCGTGCATGGCGCTTTCCACTCTGGCTGTGGTGAGAGCATCCACCGCTGTTTTTAATTCTCCTTTGCCTGGTGCAGGGGAAGATGTAATGGTGAAAGAAGAGACGCCCAGGTAACAGGATGCAAGTGGTGGTAGCTGAAACAATAGCAACCACGTATTGGCCAGATGGTCAGTGTCAAGATAAGCAGTGTCTTTTTGTTTGTGCATGCCCAGAAACTTCCATATTAAAAAAACCCAAGGAATTGATATAAAAATAACAGCCAGCAAGCAGGAAAAATAGACTGCAGGAAGGATGCTCTGTGCCAGCAGGAAGCCCTAGCGAAGAAAGGCCAGGAACCTTATTTTCAAATTAAGATTGAAATGCTGATGACTGCATACAGCTTGAGTCTTCTGATTTCCCAATCAAGACCCAGCTTTGTGATTTCAAATGACTTTAGGATTTTATAATAACCAGAAATGATCAGGAAAGTCCTGGGAATTTATCCCAGGAACAGATGAAAAAAAAAATAAAAGCTCATCCTACTGAGCAAATTTAAAGGGCATTAGGCAATTTCAGTTAGGGGAAAGCAATAATGGTTTTCTGTAGTGTGGTTCTGATTGGGGCCTAGAGGATATTCGACTGGTACTGCTCCTGGTCCCTGCAACTATGCACTCTGGACAGTTATCCACCTTTTTCTGGGATTCAGTTTCTCATCTGTGTAGTTCTCCCATGATGTCTATAGAAGGTAATTGTGTTAAGAGCTGACACAACGCTGAACTAACAGGCTGTAAGTGATGTTCACATAATTGTTATGTTAACACATTGTCAATGTATCAATGGAAACCTTGCCAAAGAATGTGTGTTTATTGAGTCAATCTATGTGGTAAGACCTGGGAGGAACTTGTGGGGCAGGGAGTAGAGTCTGTAGGAGGGAGAGAGGGAGAGAAGAAGGAAGAAGAAAGGGAGAGGACAATAAAGAGTAGATAATTCAAGATGCCATTTTGTTTATTTATGCCATTTTATATATTAATGTCATTAATACAATTATACTAATGTCATGACTGTATTACTAGAAGTAAAGAGGCATTAGGACAAAGGTAAGGGATATTCTGACTCTGTCTCACAAGCTTTGTCTATCCAATACACAGGTCACACTTGGGGAACGAACAGCAAAGAAAATATGTAGCTGTCATGTCTTCAGGGACAGTGTTGTGTGTAGGTGGATGTCTGCAGCTCATGGATAGCCGGCTTGTAAGGGGAAACCTTACAACCTTACAAGCCTACATGGGCCTCAGAAGATCCAAATCCCCTCATTTGCTGGTTCCTCCGGGCAGCTGTGTTTCCATGGGAGCTGATCTTCAGAGAGTCATTTCGACATTCTTCCTCCTCATCTGCACATTGGAGAAGGGATGGAGAGGCTAGTAGAAGAGTGACAGAGGCAATTTTCAGAGTTAAACTCCAATTCCACCTCTGTTGCCTGTCACAGTGAAGCAAAACCAGAAACTAACTTTTTGAATTGTGTCTCTATGTTTATTTAGAGAGCCAGCAATTGGGAACCCAGAGGGAAGTCTATCTCCTGTAGTCAACTTCGTTATCAACTAGTGTCTACAAGAGAGACAGTATATTCAACACTTTCCATAATGCCAGGTAGTAATCATTGTTAAATGTTATTTAATAATAATAAGTAGGATGATAGAATAATGGTAATAATACCTTTTATTCTTTTAAGAATATGTTACTTATTCATCTACTATTTGTTTTTCCTTTTCAAATTGATGCTCCATTGTTAATCACAGAATAAAATCATTACCTCTTTGTTTTTTTCTACAAATATATTTACAGAAGCATTTCTTGTCTCATCTGCCTTTTTATTTTGGTTTCTTTAGCTATGCAAAAAACTTTAATTGTATGTAATTAAATCTGATGATCTATTCTTTGTGATTTCTTCTATTACTTCCAAATTTACATACTTGATATTCCAATTTCATAGTCTTGTTTTTCTGTAATTGGAATTTAATGTCTTAATATGTAGCTCTGTAATTCATTTAGAAATTTATTCAATATATGATTTAAGGAGGAAATCAAAGTTAATATTTTCCCCAATTCATAACCAATGCAAATTTTCAATGAGTTCTCTTTCTATATTTGTTGAATTTTACGTTCTAACTCCAAGAGACATTTTCATGCACACACAGGCACAAACACATGCAGACAGACAGACAGACCCACATACACATAGAGAGTTCTTTTGGTTACCTTTTCTTTTCTTAACTATTACGAAAGTAGGTGCTCACTCTCTTGCCCTGGTCTTACATCAGGGGTCTTGTGAGACATGGCTTTACCCTGTCCTGTAGCCTGTTATCTTCAATTTACTAATTCTTTAAATAAACTTTTTTCAAACTTCATCTTTTGGTTTTAGTGAAGCTTTAATACATAATGTGAAAAACTCATTTCTTCTCTTGTTCCTCCAACATAAACTTAAGACTGAGTCAAACATCGTCTTGATCTGTATACCTTTGAATTTTCCAAGTATTTCTGTCTGAAATTCTGGGTGGTTGCCCTCTGCCTTACCTTTACTAGTTGGTGACCTCTCAATTATGGAAATTGATCTTCTTCTCAAAAGGGAAGCCTTAAGCACCTACAAATTGGATAGATTCTCAAAAAAAAAACTCAAGAGAGTTTTTTTTTATTATTTTTTTTAATTACACATTTGTCAAACTAAGAGGACCAAAGTACAAACATACTGATTCTGTTTCTATTATACTGCCTAATAGTTTGTTTTGTTAATTCATCATTTTAAAATCAATCTTCCATTAATACACTGTGAGTTGGTAGAGGGCGGGCAGCATATGTCTTTTATTTTGAACTGCCAGTACCACACACAAAACCAATCACAAGGCTGAAGTTTAATCTCTGTTCATTAAGGAACAGTTAAATATTAAGCCCTGTGCTCCCCTTCAAACTAGTCTATTGAATGAACCAACCACATGGCAAATCATTACACACCCAAACAGGAACAGTGATGTAATTGGTAGGAGGGGATTGTCTGGGTTTACTTAAATCAGTTTCATTGTTTGAAGCCAGGCCAAGTCTATCATTGCATATAGGGTACATAGCAAATCCAGAGATAAATTAGACATGATTTCCCTCCTCAAGGAACCAAGATATTCTGAGGAGAAATGACAATTAGCTTGACCATAATTCAAAAGAAAAGCTGATTGGCTCCAAATAAACTGTGTGTCAGGAAAGAGAAGATTGGAAGAGAATTGCCTTGGCATTAACCTTCTGGGATAAGAAACTCTGTAATTTTGGTTATATTCAGGCAGCCCCCATGATGAATATTTCCATCCAAGAAGCAATTAAGGAATTATTATCCAAGGAGATTTTGACAAAAGGAATGAAACCATGTAGGTTCTGTTCAGGCAGACCAAAGATCAGTTTTGAGCATTTGAAATTAAGTCTATTTAGACTATAAGGCCTTACATTTTGCCCTTAACTTTTGCTCAGGTGCTGTATAAGAACCACCAAATGGATAAGCAATAATTTACCTCCAACTACTTAGCAAATACAGTCTCCATTGTTAAATGGAATGCATTAGAATCATGGTATGATTATTGCAATAGCAATAATTTGATGTGTAGTACACTCTAAGGGGCAACCACTGTTTCAGTCCATTAAAACACTTCATTTTGAGGTGTAAAACTCTGCTTTTCAGTGTTACAGGCAGTACTTCATCATTCCCAACCATTGTCAAAATAGTGGGGAAATCACCTTACCTCTGTTATAATCGTACTGTGTTCACAAGTGTATCTAATTATAAACATTCTATCAGAAGTTTTTTTTTTTAAAATATGCCTGTATTTTAGAGGTGCTAAATGGGTAGATAATTATACCTGTAAAAACAACTAAAAATATACAAGACATCAACTGCAAATAGTATGTCTTCCATATCTAAAGGTTTACAGAAACAGAGGAAAAGGACCCCTCCTTTATGAAGGAAAAGTTGATGTCCCAGAGAGGTCAAATGTCTTTCACAAAGCTGGGAACTAATCCTGTACTTTCTTATCTTCTTATTAGTACTAGGAGCCCTATGCCTTAGCTTCTTCAGTGAATCTCTTTTCTGGAAGGAAGAGAAGTTTTGCTTACCAATTTGAGAGATAGAAACACTGAGGCATCCTGTCATGAAGCCACACAATTGAGCCATATAACTAGCAAGGAGTCGCTGATCAGAATCAACATGCTTGCTGTGTTCTGCTTTCTGCATGACAGCCTGTTCAAAGTTGGGTTCTGCTGCTGTGATGGTTATTTTTGGTTGTCAATTTGACTACATCTGAAATAAAACAAAACAAAACAAAACCCAAGCACTGAGTACATCTGTAAGGGGTTTTCTTAATTAAATCATTTGAAGTGGGAAGATGCACTTTAAATCTGACCTTTTGAGGTGGGAAGATATACCTTTAATCTTGGACACATCTGCTAGCAGCCTATATGAAGGCCATGGAAGAAGGAACCTTGCTGTCTTTACCTGCTTGCTTTCACTCTCACTGGCAAGTGAGATTCCTTCACTGGCATTAGAGCCTACTTCTTGGGGATTCCAGTGTGTACTTAAGACCAGCTGAGACATCCAGTCTCATGAACTGCATAACTTTTCCATTGGCCATTGTTGGAGTAGCTGGACTACAGTTTGTAAGCAATTCTAATGAATCTCTCTCTCTCTCTCTCTCTCTCTCTCTCTCTCTCTCTCTCTCTCTCTCTCTCCTTATGTATGTTTGTATGTATGTATGTATCCATCTATCTAATCTATCTATTCTTGTCAGTTCTGTCCCTCTAGAGAACCCAGGCTAACACAGTTGTTGATATAGTCCCCTAAAGTAGGTTCAATGTTTCTGCTGTTTATCTCTATGACTTTAAAGAAGTTGGGCTCTTTCCTGGAGCCACCAAGGGCTGCCAGGAAGAGGCATCCTGGTTCCCGTGTGTCTAGTTGGGGTAGGTTCATCACTAGAGTTGAATTCCAGTTAACAAATACTTATCAAGCTTTGTTATCTGTTGGACACTGGTCTGGAAGCCACAAAGTATGATAAGATCTTCTGTCAAGGAGTCCAGAAGAGAGACTGCCCAGAAAAGGAAAGAAGAAATAGTGAACAGGATGTTATGAAGCATGTCTACCATCCCACTACATGGAAGGTTAAGGCAGAAAGATCACCAATTAGAAGCTAGTTTGGGCTACATAATGAGTTCAGGGCTAGGTTGGGCTACAAAGTAAGGTGCATCCTTTAAATTAACCAGTCAGTCAGTCAATGTTTCATGTAAGTCTTTGGCCCTGGAAACTACCTTGAAGAATGATAGAGGTCTTACTTATTTCATTTTGTATGTTCATTCTTGGGAGTGATTCAGGTCCCTGTGCTTTACCAACTAAGCCATCTCCCCAGCCTAGCACTTTGAGTTTCAATACATCTTGACAAATGTAGCAGTCCATTATTTCATATGTGTGAGTGCCTACTTGGATGTATGTATTTGCACTATGTGCGTGTCTGGTGTCCATGGAGGTGAGGGTGTTAGCGGTCCTGGAACTGGAGTTGTAGTTGGTTCTAAGCTGCTATGTGCTGGGCATCAAAACTGAGTTCTTTACAATAGAAGAAAGTTCCATCTTTCCAGCCCTCTGGTGGCAGTCTATTTCTTTAATATGAAATAATATTTCATTTTATAGATCTGTCATTGGTTATCAACTTTAACCTATTGTGAATAGTGCTTCTTTGTAAACATTTTAAAATTGTTTATTTAATTGATTGATTATATATGCTGTGTGTATGCTGGGGGGTGCATGAAAGTGGACCCACAAGTAATTTGTGGCAGGTGGTTGTCTCCTTTTGTTATGTGAGTCCTAGAGCTTGAGACTCAGGCCATCAGGCTTGGTGTCAGGTGCCCTTACCCGCCGAGCCATCTCACTGGCCCTTACTTTACAATTTAGAAAAGTTTCTCTGACTTTCTACAGGTCCCCACACAGTGGCATTTTCTTCATGCCTTCAGCCCATCAGCTTTAAGATACTTGCCTGTGTGTATCAGTCATTTCTTGCAGCCCCTTTGGGCTACTACTGTTACTTTAAAATCCCTCCGCTTTGGGTATGTGTTGCTACCGATGCTGAGACAGCTCTGAAAAGTCTGTCCTGTTCTTCATTTATTCAATCCACTGATGAGTCCCTCCTTTATCATTGCTTCAAGTTCTTCCTGGGATGTATGCAGAGAACTCTCCTGATGTGATCCCCAGGCCCAGGGAGCTGGTGCCCAAGTACTCATCACCTAGTGCCAATGCTCCACAGCAATTTGCAGACACAGGGACTCTGAATCACTCTTGGCTCCAGGCTTCCTTCTGCCATTTCATGCTGCTCATCTGTCTTTTCCAGGTGATCACTGTATGGGAGCCATCTTTGCCATTGTATTGGGAAGCCTGGAATTATTCTCAAGTGAAACTAATCATATAGCCAAAAATGAGCTGGAAATCCCCATGTACATAGTAACAGGGTAAGACGTGGTTAGAAGTTCTGATCATGGAGCAGGCGCACCCCTCCCTTGGATCCTCAGCCCTTTCATCCATGTTCTTCTGTTCTTTCACTAAAGTGAGAACTGCCTTGTTCCTTGCTCTGGCCCTGTGTGTACACTTTTTGTGTTCACTGGCCAGGTGATTCTGGCTATTTCTCCCTAGGTTCTGAGGGTGATGCCTTTTCTTCTCCACAATGACTAGATTTTCACTTGCTGAACCCCAGTCACAGCTTCATCTTTTGAGGATAATTTCCAGGGCCTCTTGGTGGTTCATAGAATCTTTGCTTGAAGCTTCTTACTTTGTTCCTACACAGGGCCCCTTGGGTGTCTGCAGTGTTGTAACTCTGAAGAGAAGCATTTTTATATCTCAGGTTCTTCCACCACCAAGAGAGGAAGAAGTTGACATTTTCTTTACATGTGTTTGTGTGGCTGACAAGGGAATCAGTGAAAAAATCCAAAGTTACTTTCTCAGCTCACTCAAGAAGGCAAAGAGCTATCAGGTGTCCTGTTGGGCCCAGTGGGACTTCCTTGTCCAAGTTCTAGTGTGTTGACATGTGGCTTAAAAGGCCTCCAGTGTCTGTCCTGGGCTGGAACTGTGCTGTCTCTATCCTTTTGTGACTTATGACAAAGTTCTGACTTGGTGCACATCTCTTCCCTTTGCTCACTTACACTTCAGTGCCCACTGTCTGGCACTGAGGAAGATCCTTCTTGTTCTTATACTCTGGGATTCTTCATGGCTGCTCCTTTGCTCCTTGACCTGGCCTCGTGCACACATTTTGTCTGTTTATTGACCAGTCAGTTCTGGATAGGTCCTGGGGCTGGTGTTTCCTTTGTTCCACAGGATGGTGAGAAGATCTGTACTGTGGACGGGAAGAACTGATTGAGATGGAACTGAAAGTGGAATTTTGAGTATTAACCAGGCAGCCACCATAGTCCAAGTGTTAGAATTCTGACAAGTCAATGAGCCAATGAATCAATCCCCTCCTTGGGTGTGACAGCCAATGTTAGAGTATGGTCCTTCCTTGTCTAAGTTGGTTCCCTAGATACAAGGTAGATGGCAAGCATCTGAGTTGTTGCTGTTGTGAGGTTTCGATAAAATGAGACACCAGTGGGGGTCTTTAGAAGGGCTGCCTCAGGAAGGAGCAAGCTTCCTCCTGTTGACCCTGGACAGCCTCTGTTGGAGATGCTAGAAGGCAGCTTCGGTTTCCTTCTCACTAGAGATTAGCTCTATCAGCTTTAACTTTTTCTTGGTAGCATCAGGGTATGTGCTTATGATGCTCCGTATCCCACAGGCTACATTAATGTCTCCATTTCCATGGAGACAACCCTGTTCTAAGCCATGTTTCTTTCTGGAACCAGCTCATGGCTTCCTGAACAGATGTTCTTATGTCTGCCTGACCTCATTACAGATGGCTGTGAGCCACCATGTGGTTGCTGGGAATTGAACTCATGACCTCTGTAAGAACAACCAGTGCTCTTAACCTCTGAGCTACCTCTCTAGCCCAAGATCAAGTTTCTCAAGATCTTTTGACAACTTCTCATCACTCCCATGGGTGAGGTCCACATGCCTTACTGAAGTGTGAGGATTTATAGTAGCTTTTCCAGCTGACCTACCTGCTCAGCTCAAGCCACCCTCCCCTTGCCCTTCTGTCTAGCCCCATGTGACTTATAGTTTCCTCTGTCTGGAGAGTTCTTCTCATGCTTTGATCTCTCTCCTACAGTTTGAATGTGAAATGTTCCACCACAGTGTTGAGAACTTGGACCCCGGCTGGGAGATCCAATCATTGAAAGGTGTTTAGACCATGAGGTTTCTGACCTACCCAACAGATCAACCCACTGATGGATTCATAGTGTGATGACATTAATTGGAAGTGATGAAAGCTTAGAGGTAGGATCACATCAATCTATGTGAGTATAGCTGTCCCAATGCTTACAACTCAGCAGCCACCTCCAAAATATACCAATATATTGTTAAACACACACACACACACACACACACACACACACACACACACACACACAAATACTTAGTACAAAATGGTTGGGGTATGTCTAGGGCCATTTCAGAAATTTTGTAAATACATATCAAAATTCATTTTACATTTTTAAGTGAAATTCAAGTGTTCTTTGGCATGGCATGGTGTGCAAAGTACACATTTGTGTTCAGAACCAAGGTTACAGTGAAGTCACACTCTGCAACACAGGTAAATACTGGCAAAGACTTTGGATTTGTTCCATGTTTGGTTTTAAATTAATTTTTGGTTGTTTCATGATCAGAAACCTTTTTTTTCCATTGCCTAATGTTTCACAAAAGTCCACATTCAGGAAGGCACACTGTGTGAATATGGGTGGCACCATCTTGTGAGCTGGGTCCTACAGCAAACAGAAGAGGAAGAATAGGAAAACCATGTGAGTACTGGCACTATTCTCTCTGCTTCTTGATCTGCCCAGATATGAACAATTACCTGCTGCCTCAGCAGAAAGCCTCGCCTGCCACTGTCCCTTCTCCATGATAGACTCTGTCCCCTTAAATATGAGCAAAAATAAAGCGTGCTTAGTATGTTAGTTATTTTTCGTTTTGCTGTGATGAAATGCCTGGCAAAAAGAAGGACGTATTTTGGCTCACATTTTGAGGGTACTGTCCATCATAGCCGAGAAGTCAAGGTGACAGGATTATAAGCCAGTTGGCCACACTGAATCAGCAAGGACACTGAATCAGCAGTCAGGAAGCAGAGCAAGATGGATGCTGGTATTTCACTGAACTCCTTGGGTTTATTCAGGCCTGGACCCAAGTCTGTAAGAAAGTGCCACCCATATGTCGGGTAGATCTTCCTTCCTCTGTTAAATCTTCCTATAAGCATACACATAGATACACTCACAAGTGTGTTTCCATGGTGACTCTAAATCTACTCATGTTGACAAGGAAGTTTAACCATCACATTTACCATAAGTACCTTCTTGCTAGGTATTTTGTCATGGCAAAAAGAAAAAATAATGAATACACACAAGTAGAGCAGCAGTTTGTTCCTCTTCTCCTCTTCCAGGCCCAGACTTGAGGGGACAGGAAGTTAGCTCCTAGAATTCTTAGGATCTCCTGCTACCTTGAATGAACTGACCCCTGATAAAGAAGGACACCTACATAATTATTTCCCCTGCTCTATGCCATTCTGGGTACATATATTCCTGTCATATTTAAACTTAGATTATGAGACTCATGCACAATTTAATGTAGAAAAGGGGACAGGTAAGGAGACCCCCAAAGTACTACTACTGAGTGATTGTAATGGTTGTGGCATCAAACCACTGCTGAGTCACTGTGGAAGGTCAGCAGGCTTCAGAAGAGGCCAATGCATGTGGTCTCTTCCTACAAGTTTAGACTCTGAGTCAGGAAAGAGGGGATTCAGACAGAAAAAAATCGACTTTGTTATGGCTGCCTCTGATTCCACCAGGTTTTTACCTACAAAAAGGCTGAGTAGAAGTGGTCTGGGGCAGAGTTGACCCTTTGTGGTCTGAGTCCCTGGAGTATGTGCCAGAGGAGCTTCTACAACATGGAAGATGAGACCTTTTTGAGATAAACCAAAGTCCCATTCTCATCTCACTTAGAAATCCTCCCTTGTAGGGTTTGACCTGTGTTGTATTTTGTCTCATTTAGACCTGACAAGGATGTGTGAAATGAGATTTAAAAATCACTGTGGCATGGAAGGGGTTCTTTAAAAAAAAAAAAGGCAACTATTTCCCTGAAGTCCCACAAATGCTACTTGAAGATGTTATACTCTCATTTTCTTCTGGTGTGTAATGAGTTGTCCCCAAACTCAGTGGCATGGTAGAACTCTTTTATCCTCCAGCTCCTGTGGGTACAGCTGGGATGTTTTGTCTCTGCTCCATAGAGCTCTGGGATTGTAGGTGCTCTGAACAGGTGTATGTGTGGCTCTTGGAGCAGGATGTCTGAACTGTTGCCCAGATCACTTACATGTGTCCTCTACCTGGACCCATCTCAACATGGCACCTTGTGTCACAAGGAAGCATCCATAAAGGGACTACCACAGGCCAAGCATTCTAATAAGCAAGGCAAGAGGTGTAGGGCATGTTTTGACTAAGAAAGCCACAGTAAATAAACAATCCTGTCACATCCAGCCAAGGCACTAACCTGAGCTTAAAGTTCCAGGAAGTTAATTCTGTGGGGATTGCAGGAACAAATTAGGTGACTCAACCCTGCACACCCAGTGGTTGCAAAAAGAGATAATAAACATTGTAGTTTCAAAACCAGCATGTTTAAAGAAAACAGCGAATTTCACCATTCTTCCCCAAATGCACCCCCTTTCCCCTTCCCTATCCTTCACTACAGAAATCCCAGTTTGAAGCACAGAATCTGTATTTTCTTGAATTCTCGTTAGAGAGTGGCTGGGTCTGGTGCCCTGACCACAGTGCACCAGTACTAAGGCACAAATTCTCTGGCATGAAATAAAGCCTTTTTACCTGTTTGAAGTTGTCTACATTCCCATCCTTTTTTTTCCCTCCTGCAAACTTAATTTTTCACATATTCTTGCACACAGAACACCTTCTCCTTTCCATGTTGCTTCTTGAAGCAGTCTCATTCTTTTCTTTTCTTTCTTTTATTTTATTTTACAATATCATTCAGTTCTACATATCAGCCATGGATTCCCTTGTTCTCCCCCCCTCCTGCCCCCTCCCCTGCCCTCCCCCCAGCCTACCCTCCATTCCCACCTCCTCCAGGGCAAAGCCTCCCCTTGAGGACTGAGATCGACCTGGTAGACTCAGTCCAGGCAGGTCCAGTCCCCTCCTCCCAGATTGAGCCAAGCGTCCCTGCATAAGGCCCAGGTTTCAGCCAACTCATGCAATGAGCACAGGACCTGGTACCACTGCCTAGATGCCTCCCAAACAGATCAAGCCAATCAACTGTCTCACCTATTCAGAGGACCTGATTCAGTTGGGGGCCCCTCAGCCTTTGGTTCATAGTTCCTGTGTTTCCATTTGTTTGGCTATTTGTCCCTGTGCTTTATCCAACCTGGTTTCAACAATTCTTGCTCATATAAACCCTCCTCTTTCTCACTAATTAGACTCCCAGCGCTCCACCCAGGGCCTAGCCGTGGATCTCTGCACCCAGATTCCTCAATCCTTGGATGGGGTTTCTGGCACAACTATTAGGGTGTTTGGCAATCCCGTCACCAGAGTAGGTCAGTTTGGGCTGTCTCTCGACCATTGCCAGCAGTCTATTGTTGGGGTATTCTTTTATTTTAAAAAAAATTCATTTATTTTACATTCTGGCCACAGTGCCCCTCCCCTCATCCCAACCCCTCCCCCACTCCATCTGTTCCCACTTGCCATCCTCTCCTCACAGCTCACTTCATTTCAGTAAGAGAAGACAGGTAGGCCCCCACTGTCAGTGAGAAGAGCATCAAATACTGTATGGCACAGTGGAGTTGCATCCAAGTGCTCTTACTCTGGAGCTATTGCTCTCCCCATTACACAATGTTGGGAAGATGTAAGAGCCACTGTGTCCTGAGGGTCAGCAGGGAGATGGAGATCATGTCCTTACATAGATGTGCTACTGAGTCCCTGAGGCCCCCTTTGGAAAGAAACTGCAACATGTAGCTTAAAGTTTAGGAGATAGATGTCTGGTTGGAGTCCATGTGGCTGTACCTGGGCATCTATTGATGCTCTGTACAGTGATCCCGCCTCAGGTTTTCCTCTCCAAGGCAAGGATAATCACAGCATCCTTTTGCTTGTCTGTAAGACATAGTGCTCAAGCCTGGAGGACTTTCCAGCTTGTCTTTAGAGAGGAGGATGTTCTCTATGTCCACACGGGGGCCCTGCTGTTCAACTCTGGATCTTAGATGTGCTCAGTGGTGGGTCTGCATTTGGAAGCCAGCCCATCTCCCAGCAACTTACCCAGTTTCACTGGACCAAGCATATTCTTTTTCTTCCTTCACCATCCACACTGTAATGACTGTAATATGCAGAAATTCCTTCCCACACCCATCCCAATAAATCTACTGTTAGTTGAAAACTTCACGGCTGAAAATACTGTATGTTAAATGTGCATTTTATATACCTTGCTTACCAAACGCTCTAGCTTAGCAACACAGTGCACTGCAAGTCTGGGTCGTTCCCCTCATGAGCCTATGGCTGGCTAGGAGCTTCAGCTCTGTGCTGCAACCTAGCCTTGCAAAAGAGAATCCTACAGGATGTTGCTAAACCAGAAAAAAATCTAGTTGTGGTTTTCATGTTTGTTGTCTATCAAGTCTGCCTTACTTTCCACCCACACAAGTCAGACTGGAAAGTTGGGGGAACATTTTTATCTCATTCATTGGCCAATCACCATATTCTGCAAAGTGTGATAAATTTGGAGTCCCAACATGCGCCTACAGACGTTTCTTCACAGTTTTGGTAGCAGTAGGTCTGTGGCTAGCCCATTAAGACCTCTGTTGTGTTGCAGTGCAGTGGGCATGTCTGCTTTTCAGAAAAGTAACGAGGATAGCACGAGTGAGCAGGTCAAAGTATTTTCTAACCTGCTAAGCATAAGATATGTCGGACATTTTTATTGTTATCATCTCCTGCTCATGGCAAGCAGAGTGCTTCACTCCCTGCAAGCGCTTAATCAGTATGTGCACTTTAGTCGAGATTTACTCCAGACCCCAGATGAAGTTCACGGCAGAAGGAGATTGGAATTTTCATCTCCTGTCCCACCTGGGGACATATGTCACAGAAGCCCCTTTATATGCATTGGCCACGCTGTGTTTTCCCTTACTCTGCCAAGTTGGAAGAGGGATTGCAGGCTTTTGTAACTGACATAATCACAGCATTGATTAAGAAAAAGTAACTGACTCTGTCAATTTAATTAAATAGCTAGGGATCTTCAGTCCCAGTCTCAGGCTGTCTGCTGCAGGGCAATGCTGGCGTGGGAAGGAGGATCTACATCTGTGATCAGCTGCCTTTTTTCCCAAGAGGTTTGGGAGGCAGAATGCATATTTTTTCAATGACTCACACACTCCATCAGGGACTCAATTACACTAATCTATAAACTGTGTGGGGCATTCTTTCCCCTCCAGATCTTTGCAAGAGGAGTGATCACAAGAAACTCCTAAGAGACCTCTCCTCACACAGGCCACATTTCTGAAAACAACTTATCTGTTCTATTTATATTGTGATCAATGGACCTATATACTAAACAGCAGGCACCTACCAGGTTCCAGCTGTGCCATGTGCTGTGTGTTGTATATTGTGTGCTGTGTGCTGTGCTTTAGGAGCTATGGGACTGTAGAGGAGCAGAAGCTGTCCTTGCATTGATGATACTTTTGGTGTATATTCAGAGGAAACTTTTCATGCACAGGAGTGAACGTGTGTAAAATGATATGTGAGGCTGAGAGGAACTGGGTCCAGCCAGACCATTAAAAAGAACAAATCAGGTATGAACTTTAAAAGATTAATATAAAAGCCATACTTTGTTTCCTCCTATGCCCCCCCTTGTTCTCTCCACCTATCTCCTTTTCTCCTCAACATCTAAATCAGCCTGAGGTTCTCCTCAGCCATCTGGGTTCCAGAGAAGCATAACCACTTTGGATTGGATGAAGTCGCTTTTAGGAAGCTTGATTACTCTGGAAGAATGGACTCAGTGTGGTTTCCACAGTTTGCTGGGGAGTCTGTGGAAGATGCTTATACTGTGACTTGCCCAGGAGAACTCCTGGCTTACGTCCAATCACCCTTCATCACCTCAGGGGATTTAGAGTTGGCTCATCTTCAGCACACCTGTCTACCTCTCTGCCTTATCTGAGGCATTCCTTTTTAGCAAGGCCTCCATGAAGACTCAGATCTGTCACTCCCCTGCTGCTGAAGCTTCCTTCGCTTCAGTAACAGTAAGATAGAGACTATCTTACTTCTGTGCTGGTCAGATTCAGGAAACTAGTGACAGTGTATTAATTTGCATATTACTCAACCTGGTAGAGAGAATTTACAGACCTCCAAGAAAAATTGGTAACATATATTTGTTTTTATTCATTGTTTCATTAATCCCAAAAGCATAGATTTTCTTGCTTTTGGAAACATTGGGAAGGCTTCTGTGGCTCTTTGTCTTTCATATCTTTTGCAAAATTCCTCCTTCATTTGGTCAATTCTTTCTTTAAGTCAGAAAGATGCCTTCTCAATGGATTATTTTTGGGTCCCTAAAGTATGGTCCTCATCTCTCTCTAGGTGTTATCAATCTTATCAGATTCTCTGGAAACACCCCAAGGATGTATGTTCTACATGTCTGGAACAATGCTTCTCCTAGTGTTTTGTCTCTGTAGCATGGAGGACAACCCCATGGGTGTCCAGGGTGGTTCAGTAGAGGGATGGGAAAAGTGCAATGAATACAGAAGCAGTCTACTTAAAGCTGACAGATTGGAGCTGCCAGATTGCAGAAAGCAGCTGGGGATGAGAAAGAAAAGCCAAGACAGTTAATTAAAAACATTTTTATTTGACCTGATTAAAAAGAAGTTAAAGCTTTGAGAAGTTTCTGCTGAGGAATTAAGGTGGATATGAGTCAGATGGATGGATTGGTGTGTTCTCTGAAAGACTGAGGTGCCTAGAGTCCAGGGATAGACTCAGTATACCCAGTGACCCCAAGAACCTGGACTTTGAACCCTACATCCAAGGCAATGAGGATCTGCATTCCCCAAGTACTTAGGGTTCTTCTAGCAGATGTCTAATGTGCTAGCCGAGCAGGTGGTGGCTGGTTCAACCAAAGTTAATATCTGTGTTGGGCAGAGTCTAACCTAGCACCAAGTTAGTGCAAAGAGAAAGCTAAGGCCCATTAATGCTTGTAAGTTGTGCACTCAGTTATTACTCTTACTGAGAAACATGCCCATCATGGTGTCTAGCTTCCTCTGTGCAGAACCTTTAGAGGGCTGTTGGGGAATCCTAACTGGGCTTTGCTTGTTTTAATAAGGAGTCAGAACAGCTGTGTTGGAGCTGAGTGAAAGCTTGCTGTTCAGAAAACTGATATGTAAGCATTCAGGATTGTGTATGGCTTTGCTATGGTCTGGATGTCAGTGTCCACACCAAGCTCATATGTTGGATCCCAGTATCTATCACAATAACATGAAGAGGTAAAGCCTTTGGAAAGTAAGTCACTAGGGTCCTGCCATTATGAATGGGATTAGTGCCACTAGGAAAGAGGCTCAAGTGAGCTTTCTTGTATCCTCTGTCATGTGAGGAAAAAGGTCGAAGCATCATCTATGAGAGCAGAATGCATTTGCAGATATCAGCTCTATTTGATGTGTTCTGATCCATTTCAATGATTGTCTTATGGATCACTGACATGCTCCTTCTTTGGCTAGTGGGAGGTTTATCCAGGATATCTCTGAAGCCCATTGACACATCTCTAGTGATACTTATTAGTTTCTTTGTTATTTAATATAACAAACTATTTAAGGCTCATCTTGAACTTTTTCTTCACTAGAGCTGGAATCAACAAATTCACAAAGCCCCAGTTACTCAGTGGGAAGTGATATAAAAGATCATGTTATGTACAGGAGGAATTTGCCCAGCTGGTCACTGTCCTTGATGTTGCTGATTGACAGAGATGGGAGGTCAGTAATGCAGGTGTCCCTGAAAATTCAAATCAGAATTACAGAGCTTTAATTAATTTCCATCTGTCTTACACACCCCTCTCAGTCATGCTCAAAATCAGAACACAATGGCCAGTTCCTCCATATGGTTGTATGCAGTTGTGTGGGACTCTACAAGAAATAGGGTAGGAGACAATAGGAGAAAACTGAGCTCCCTAGAAAAGGCCTTGTTTCCTGGTTGGGACAGGCTCTGTCTTGGTTGATATACTCATTTATTCTATTTTGTTTTCAATGCCTGAGATTCTCTCTTGCATCTCTTATAATCAGTTGATGAAGCTTATCTCTGTGGTTCCTGTCAGAGACCTAAAACTTCATTTTCAGATTTCCTTCACTTTTGATTTTCTTTATTGATTCTGTT